GATTCACTCCATGTGATATCAAGAAACAGTTGGTGACACTGGATACTACAAAGGCTACTGGCCCTGAAAACATTCCGGCAACAGTACTGAAGACTTGTGCTCCAGAATTTACCGCTCCCCTAGCCAAGCTGTTCCAGTACAGTTACAACGCTGGTATCTACCCGACAATGTGGAAAATTTCCCACGTATGTCCTGTACACAAAAAGCAGGACAAATCCAACCCAGCCAATTACCGCCCCATCAGTCTCCTCTTGATCATCAGTAAAGTGATGGATGGTGTCATCAACAGTGCTATCAAGCAGCACCTGCTCAGAAATAACCTGCTCAGCAATGCCCAGTTTGGGTTCCACCAGGGCCACTCAGCTCCTGATCTCATTATAGCCTTGGTTCAAACATGGACAAAAGAACTGAATTGCAAAGGTGAGGTGAGAGTGACAGCCCTTGATATCAAGGCTGCATTTGACTGAGTGTGGCATCAAGGAGCCCTAGCAAAACTGGAATCAATGGATATCGGGGGCAAACGCTCCAGTGGTTGGAGTCATACCTGACACATAGAAAGATGGTCGTAGTTGTGGGAGGTCAATCATCTCAGCTCCAGGACATCGCTGCAGGAGTTCCTCAGGGTAGTGTCCTAGGCCCAACCATCTTCAGCTGCTTCATCAATGATCTTCCCTCCATCATAAGGTCAGAAGTGGGGATGTTCGCTGATGATTGCACAATGTTCAGCATCATTTGTGACTCCTCTGATACTGAAGCAGTCCATTCTCATATGCAACAAGATCTGGACAATATCCAGGCTTGGGCTAACAAGCGGCAAGTGACATTCGCGCCACACAAATGCCAGGCTATGACCATCGCCAATAAGAGACAATCTATTCACCACCCCCTGACATTCAATGGTGTTACCATCACTGAATCCCCCACTATCAACATCCTGGAGTTACTATTGACCAGAAACTCAACTGGACTCACCACATTAACAGAGTGGCTACAAGAGCCGGCCAGAAGCTGGGAATACTGCGGCGAGTAACGCACTTCCTGACTCCACCATCTACAAGGCACAAATCAGGAGTGTGATGGAATACTCCTCACTTGCCTGGATGAGTGCAGACCCAACAACACTCAAGAAGCTTGACACCAGCTAGGGCAAAGTAGCCCGCTTGATTGGCACTACATCTACAAGCATTTCACTCCCTCCACCACCGATGCTGAGTAGCAGCAGTGTGTATTATCTACAAGAGGCACTGCAGAAATACAGCAAAGACCCTCAGACAGCACCTTCCAAACCCACGACCACTTCCATCTAGAAGGACAAGGGCAGCAGATATATGGGAACACCACCACATCCAAGTTCCCCTCCAAGTCACTCAAAATCCTGACTTGGAAATATATCACTGTTCCTTTACTGTCACTGGGTCAAAATCCTGGAGTTCCCTCCCTAATAGCATTGTGGGTCAACCCACAGCAGGAGGACTGCAGCGTTTCAAAAAGACAGGTCAGCACCATCTTCTCAAGGGCAACTAGGGATGGGCAAGAAATGCTGGCCAACCTCACAAATTAATAAAAGAAAAATTCACTCATGTATTTATCAATGTTGATATTATCCCATCCCATCCCTCTGAAAGTTTATCTACTAATGATAAACTGATTTATTTTCAATTAACTTGGTCTTGATAATGTGCCCTTGAGAATGGTGGTGAGTTGATTCTTGAAATGCAGTCCGTTTGCTCCAGGTAGACCCACAATGCAATTAGGGAAGCACTTCCAAGATTTTGACTCAGCAGCAAGGAAGGAATAATGATATATCTCCAAGCCAAGATGATGTGCAGCTTAAAAGTGAACTTCCAGGTGGTCGTGCTCCTATGCTGGGGACCTCTGGAGGACGCCAGGATGAGTCATCCACTACACATTTCTGTCTGAAGATTCTGGCTGTTGTATCTAATATTTCAGAACTTCATCTGGAAGTCCTGTTTCCCACTATTATATAAACATACAAAATAGAAGTGGCCTATTTGAACCCTCAAACCTGCTCTGTTATTCAAAAAGATCTGTTTTGTGATTTGACTGGTCTGTTTGTGTTTTAGTGTTTCGTGTGCTTTCGTTTAGTGTTTAGTGTGCTTCTAAATCTGTGAAACCTTTCCTCATCAGATAACTGACTCGTTCCAGGTATCAATCCCTTCTGAACTACCTCCAGCACATTTACATCCTTCTTAAATAAGGAAACAAAAACTGCAACAGCATTTGAGACATGGTCTCATCAGCGCCCTGTATAACTGAAGCATAACATTCTTCTTGCATGAGAACATGTGAATCCATTGCACCTCAGAATACCATAGTCATTCTCTGTTTAAGTAATGTACTTTTATTCTTCTAGCCAAAATAAATAACTTCAAATTTTCTCACATTATACTCCATCTGCCAGACAATGCCTATTCACTCAACCTATCTATATACATCTGCAAACTCCTTTTGTCATATTTACAACACATTTTCATACCTATCTTTATGCCATCTGCAAATTTAACTACCATGCCTTTGCTTCCCTCATCCAAATCACTGATGTAGATTGTAAAAAGTGTAAATAAAACTTTACTAGCGACATCACGACAATCAGCCAAAATTCTCTGTTTAGTGCTGGCTAGGAAATCTTCTATCCATGCTAATGTCTTACCATCCCATACAATAAGCTTTTATTTTCCACAATAACCTTTAATATTCCACCTCATCAAACGCCTTTTGGAAATCCAATTATAATACTACAGCCTTACATTTATCCATAGTATATGTTACTCCTTCAAAAGAGCTCCAATAAATTGGTTGAATATGACATCCCATTCACAAAGCCATGCTGGCTCATCCCAATTACCTTGAGATTTTTCTAAGTGCACATGTATAACCTCTTTGCTGATTGATTTTAACACCTTTCTCATGAGACACATTATGACAGGCATCAAGCTGGCCTTTGTTTCCTATTTTGTGTCTCCCTCCCTTCTTAAACAGTGTGGTTATCTTTGTTGTTTTTCAGCCTAATAGAACTTTCCTGAATTTAGGGATTTTGGAAAATTAACACAAATGATATCTACTAGCTCATTATCCACATCTGTTAAGACTGTAGTATGAAGTCCGCTTGGACTTAGAGACGTCAATCCACAGCTCCATCGGTTTCCTGAGTGAAATTACAGTTAAAGGGGAAGCAGTACTACGTTCCTCTTGCCCTTCCACCTCTTGACTTACAACTATTACGGAATGCTTTTGTTCTTCCTAGTCCCACCCCCTTCCAATGTCTTAAAAACTCTTGGGGTTCTGATGAAAGGTCATCAAACTGAAACATTAACTTCATTTATTTCCACAGATAGTGGTGACCTGCTTTCTCCAGTTTTCTTTGTTCTTATTTCAAATTTCAGGCAGGGTTCTGATGAAGAGTCACCAGACTAGAAAATGTTAACTCTGCTTTCTTCCCTAAGATGCTGCCAGACTTGCTAAGTTCTCCAACAATTTCCGTTTTTGTTTCAGGCATCTGCAATATTTGGCTTTGACTCATTATTGTAGCATTGTTGTTTTAAAATATATCTCTTACTCTACCGTACTTAATCTCCAGTATGTTCCAAATAAAGTAAGAGCCCCAATCTTATTTCCTGACTGCAAACTAAATAGATTCAGGTTGTGCAGGATCTCATGTTCAAATGTTGTGATGGATTTTTGTTCTCTATTCTGCTGTGCCTTAATATTTACTAACCTAGAATTTTCTGCTCCTAATTTTGGCCTAGCTTCAACAATATATTTTTTAATGCTATTACATCATACTCTGTTATGTTCTGAGTCACAAGAACAAAGCTGAAGTAGATTACTAGATAAGTCTGAGCTCTGAAGTTCCACTTGGGAATATAAATATTTATTATTCATCACAGAATTGGTTACTACTTGACAAATATGAAATTAAAATGCACTGTTAATGTTCCACAATGTCATATCTTGTGCAGTTACAGTATTTTATCACATTGTTATTTTGTTGAACACATATCAGTTAGCTCAGTTGGCTATGGCTGATTTGCAATGCACACTGATCCAACAGCGTGGGTTCAATTCTTGCATCAGTTGGAGGTTATTGTGAAGGCTCCACCTTTCCAACCTCAGACCTCACCTGTGGTGACCCTCACATTAAATTCACCACCAGTTAGTTGCGTATCTCGAATGAGAAAATGGTCTAGCTGGACTGTGGTGATTTTACTGATATAAATTAGAGGATGTCATATTGATAGAAAGTGATTAATTGAATTTACTTTAGAGTAAGAGACTCATACCACTGACAATCAAACTGCAAGTGAATTAATTAAAAATGATTTACTCTCAAATCCACCATGTCAGTGGTAAAGTTCCCTTTTGACTTTAACAACTTAAAATTGAATACTGAACTGGAAGTATTTCATTATTTAAGACTAAAATTATAAAATCCTGAGGTTGACATGACTTAGGGATCTGCTTTTTCCATTGGTTTTCAATTGTTGCAATCCATTGTTGAAATAATGTACTTTCTCAAAAAATCTAACGTCAGCGGAATATTTTAGTCACACACAAAATATGAAATGGTATTTTGAAAATGTTGTTAATGTCCATAAATAAGTGTTTGTTCCCTGACGGAAATGATTAATTTGCTCAGTGTACCAATTATTTCCATAGTTGCATTAAGAGAAATGGAAGTATTAAGTGGATAGTCCGTCAGCTCTTTGCCCGCGATGAGCATGGATGAACTGTGAAAAGACCACCGTGGCGCTGACCACTGTGCTGAAATGAAGGCACAATCTATCAAGCCGTCTCCAGTCATATGCCCATGTACAGTGTATTTCGTAGCCAGCCACGTAGGAATTTAGCAAATCGAAAAAATGTCAATTGTAAAAGTTGAAATAGTTATTGATATTTCTTTTGAGAAATAAAAGAAACTATTACGGTGCAAACACACATCTTTTGGACAATAATTCTTATTTGCCCTCTGATATTCTTACCTGTTCTGAGCCTTGGAAGCAGATTCTGCAGGTGGGAGTGATGCCCCCATTGCGAAAGCTGCTGTTGCTGCTGCACACAGACTCGGCATCATTGGAGCAAGAGACTCGCACAATTTGGTAGCTTTCGTGTTCGGTGGACCGGCTCTCTTGCGTCCCCGGACTACAGCCTTTCTTGTCCTCGGCTTTCGCCGAGATCAGCCTCTCCTTCTCGCCGGCGTCTACCTCTTCCCCTCGGTGTCTTTTTGGAGTGGTTGGCAGCGAGCCTCCCCCGACAGCGCCCCCGACTGGCATTATCGTGCCGTTGCTGGCTGGGCCGCCTCCGCTCTCCTTCCGCTCCCTAATCTGCTGCTGGTCCTGCTGCGGGAGCGGCTGATGTTCGCTCATCGTGCGAGGGATGAGGGAGGGATGAGGGAGGGGCTGGGGCAGGGGCTGGGGCTGGAGCTGCGGGGCCAAATTAGACTATCGCCGGGACCAGGAAAGGGTGGAAGGGAGAGGGATTATAGTTGGAGGTGTACCGGCGGAAGGAGGAATGTGAAAGGCAGACAGTAAAGGTAAAGAGGGAGTGGGAGAAAAAAAGCGAGAGTTTTTCAAAATCCGCCGAGAGACAGACCATTTCAAGCGCCAAAATGGGCCAAAGATCTCCCAGACTGAGAAATCGTTTGGGATTAGCTGATGGTAGCAGACTGATTGATCCAGCAGCAGCCGTTTGACAAGACAGTTCGGTTCACTGGGAAACCCCGATTCAGATCATCACAGCTGTGGAAGGCGGAATGGGCGACTCAGTGGCTCCCGTGATCTGGAACCTACTGCGGCACAGAGCTGACAGAGAATCGGAGATCGCCCGAGCCCGTCCGCCTGCCCACCATTGTTTCCTCACAAACGATGCACGGGGTGGAGGGAGAACCAGGAACTCAAACCCTCCCGGTTAACCACACCTGCAAGATCCAAGATAGTATGTCTGATTCTAACACTCTCGGAAGGGGGTGGCAGTTATTATTCACTTTTATTTTCTGCTTAGTTTATCCCCCAGGCCTCGCTACTCTACTGGAACCGTGCAGACAACATTTCACACGTATCAGAAAACGTAAGAACATAAGCGGAGTCAATGAATAACACTATTCCATTTGATATGGGACATATACTTACAAATGTGTAACTAAAGTGTATTTTTTTCTCCTTTCTATCGATGGAATGGATAACAGTCCTGAGAAAATAAAACTTCTATTTCAGTACCAAACGCTCTTTGTGAAACTTTCCGATCCAACAGCATCCTCAGTCCCAACCTCATCTGCACTGCATTAGTTTTCTTTTTTTTAAGCTTCTCTGAGTAACTTTGCCAGCAGCACAAACTTTCAATTCAATCCAAGTCCCAGAGATTAAACACCAATGTCTTACCTATTCCAAAGCACTGTTCCATGTAACATGAAAATCATTTTTTTCCTACTATGACCCCATTTTGCGGAATGAAAATTGTCACATTCCCTAACTGAGATCTTTGAGGGAGAAAGAAACACCTGTGAGAGTGAAGGAGAAGGTCCTTGGTAAGTGGGCCTGTCTGTTCATGCAAGATACAGTTGGTATAACTCAAAATTCTAATGGAGCCATGACTGCCACAATGGGACAAGGGATGAGAAGGATAAACAGGCTGTTGGTTATTGAAGGCACAAGATGAAGGAGGGGTGATGAAAGTGGGTTCTTGGTTGGAAAGGAATTGAGTAATGGAAAGGCAAAAGCACAGAAATCATAATGGTAGTAAATGCATTGGATTTGAGGTACTGAGAATTCAAGATGTTGTTTGACCAGCATACCATAGATTATGATCCTTCCCTTGCTTATGGTCAACCAGATAGCTCAACATTCTGTTTGCTATGTCAATTGTTTGGGCTTTTATTTATTTGCTGGAGGGATGTGTCACTAATTAGACCTTAACCTTTAGCACTGTGCTTCCTTAATCTTTACCACTGTGCATATCGTAGACGGTTCTTGCTGCTGCCACTGTGATGCTGAAGGAAGTGAATGTTAAAGATTCTGGATGGCTTTGTGTTGAGCTATTTGCATGTTGTTAGAGCTGTACCCATCCAGGCAAGTGAAGAACATTCCATCACACTCCTGACTTGTATCTTTTAAATGGTGGCCAGGTACTGGGAGACAAGTGGTGTGAATTCTTAGTCTCTGACCTGCTCTTACAGCTACTATATTTATATCACTGGTCTTTTTAAATTTTTGGTTAATTGGAACCACTAGGATGTTGATAGTGGGGGAATTTAGTGATGGTAATGCCAGTAAATACCGAGGGGCAATAGATTTGCTCTTGCTTGAGATGGTCATCACCTGGTACTTGTGTGATATGAATGTTAGTTGCCCAAGCCTGAGTGTTGCTCAGGTCTTGCAAATGGACACAGGCATTTCAACAGCATCTTCAGTCCCAACCTCATCTGCACTGCATTAGTTTTCTTTTTTTTAAGCTTCTCTGAGTAACTTTGCCAGCAGCACAAACTTTCAATTCAATCCAAGGTATAGAGGCAACAAGGTATAGAGCTGGATGAACACAGCAAGCCAAACAGCATCAGAGGAGCAGGAAAGCTGACGTTTCAGGTCTGCATCCTTCTTCAGAAGACCCGAAATGTCAGCTTTCCTGCTCCTCAGATGCTGCTTGGCCTGCTGTGTTCATCCAGCTCTACACTTTGTTGTCTCAGATTCTCCATCATTGGCAGTTCCTACTGTCTCATTTCAATATCTGACAAGATGAGAATGGAACTGAATATTTTGCACTCATCAGCAAACATCTCCACTTCTGACTTTATGTCGGAGGGAAAGTCATTGATGAAACAGCTGAAAACAGTTGAAACTTCAGCATTACGCTAAGGAACTTCTTCAGAGATATCTTGTGACTGAACGTTTGACTTTCAAAAAACACAAACATCTGACTCTGTGCTAGGTTTGACTCCAATCAGCAGAGTTTTTTTTTAATCCCATTGAGTCTGACTTTGCTAAGATTGCCACACACAGTCAACTGCTGCCTTGATGTCAATGGTGGTCGTTGTCACCCATGTTTGGGTCAAAGCTATAATGAAGTCAGGAGATTAATGGACCTGGCAAACAACAAACATCAGTGTGCAGGTTATTACTGAGAAATTGCCAACACTATTGATGACTGACAGTGGTAATTGGCTGGGTTGAATTTGTTCTGTTCTTTGTGGACAGAACATGGCAAGGTAATTTTCCACATTCCTGGATGTATGTACTGGAATAATTTGGATCAGGAAGTGACTGGTTCTGGAGGCCAGTCTTCAGTGCAATTTCCAGAATGTTGTCAAAGCCAGTAGCCTTTTCAATATACAGAGCCTTCAGTCACATGAAATATCACATGAAGTGAATCAAATTGGGTGAAGACTGGCATTTTTGCTTCTGAGGACCTCAGAAAGAGGCAAAAATGGATGATTCTCTCACATTTCTGGCTAAAGATGGATGCAAACGTTTCAGCCTTGTCTTTTCCACTGATGTGCTGGGCTTCCCCATAGTTTAGTATTGGCATATTTATGGTGACTTCTCCAGTTAATTGTTTAATTGTCTACCACTATTCAAACTGGGTGTGGCAGGATAGTGATGCTTATATTTGGTCCACTGGTTGTGGGTTTGCTTAGCTCCGACTAATGCATGCAGCTTCTGCCATTTGACATGCAAGTACTTCTGTGTTATAGTTTCACCATGTTGACACATTATTTTTAGGTTTACCACGTACTGTTACTAATATTCTATTCATTCAGGGATGTGGGCTCAGCAGCAGTATTGCCCATCCCCAGTTCCCCTTTAGAATGTGGTGAACTGCCTTCTTGAAACACTGCAGTCCAAGATGTGCTCTCTGTACTTCTGTTTGAACAATGGTTGATCCTCTGCTTCAAAGGTAATGGTAAAGTGATGGGATATGCTAAGCCATGAGGTTACAGATGTTTGAAAACAGTTCTACTGTTGCTCATGGCCCACACTGCCTTGTGGGTGCCCAATTTTGAATGGCTAGATCTCTTCAAAATCTCTCCCAAATGGCATGGTGATAGCATCACACAACACAATGGAGGGTATCCTTCATGTGAAGATAGGATTTTGTCTCCACTAGGACATTGTGGTCACTACTGCCAGCACTATCATGAACAGATACATCTGTGACAACTAGACTGATGAGGATGAGGTCAAATAGGTTTTACCCTCTTCTCGTTTCTCTTATCCTTTGCCACAGACCCAGCCAAAGATGTATGTGTGCTTTGTGTATGGACATTGACATTCATCTCTTAATAAATCTGTTTCAATGGGAACCAAGTGCCATATTTGGAGATTTGCCTGTGAATAATTGTGGTTGTATTCACTTTTGGAGTTATGAACAAAAAAGTTTCATGTCCACACCTGTTCTTGAGAATTATTAGACCTATAGAATAAACAAGACAAGGGATTACATGATGAACGGCAGGACCCTCTGAAGCACTGAGGATCAGAAGGAACATGGTATGCGTGGTCTCTTAAGGTGTCTGGACAATGAGGTTAAGGAGGTATATGGTATATTTGCCTTATTATTCAAGGCACAGAGGTTGAGAACAGAGAGGCTATACTGGAATTATATAAAATATTGGTTAGGCCACAGCAAATGTATTGTGTGCAATTCTGGAATCCATATTACAGGTCGAATGTGATCACACTGGAAAGAGTGCAGAGGAGACTTATCATAGAATCCCCACAATGTGGAAACAGGCCATTCAGTCCAACAAGTCCACACTGTCCCTCCGGAGAGCATCCCACCCAGACCCATTCCCCTACCCTGTTCCCTGGCATTTCCCATATCTAACCCACCTAACTTGCACACCCCTGGACATTACAGGCAACTTAACATAGTCAGTTCACCTAACCTGCACATCTTTGGGCTAGGAGGAAACCCACGCAGGCACGAGGAGAATGTGCAAATTCCACACAGCCTGAGGGTGGAATCAAACCTGGGTCTCTGGTGCTGTGAGGCAGCAGTGCTAACCACTGAGCCACCGTGCCATTCAGGATATTGCCTGGGCTGGAGAGTTTCAGTTATGAAGAGAGGTTGGACAGGCTGGGGTTGGTTTCCTTAGAGCAGAAACGATTGAGAGAGGACATGATTGAGATGTATAAAATTATGAGGGGCATAGGTAGGGTTGACAGGAATAAATTTTTCCCTTTGATGGAGAGATCAATGACCAGGGGTCGTAGATTTAAGGCAAGGGCAGAAGTTTAGAGGAGCTGTGAGAAAAACATTTTTATCCAGAGGGTAGTCAGAATTTGGAGCTCACTGCCTGTAAGGATAGTAAAGGCAGAAACCCTCATATCTTTAAGAAAAATTTAGATGTGCACATGATGTAAAGGCATACATG